TAAACTTAAACATTTCACATGTCAGTGGCCCCCATCTGGCTAGTGGCTACCATATTGGACAGCTCAGATTCTAGACCATTTTCATCAATGCAGACTGTTCCACTGGAAGTTGATTGAAAGGGGAGGAGGCAGTGGAGGGGGAGTAGAGACCAGGCCTCTGGGCCATTCATTCGCAATGGCTGTTGAGGGCCTTCTAGGTGCCAGGCTGTGTCCTAAATGCTTGAGATACAACAGGGCAAGGCAGACCAAGACCTGCCCCTGCTCTTAAGGAGCCTGCATTCTTGGAGCTGGAAAAAGGCAGGAATCATGTTACTCTGTGGTGTGTCCACCGGTGGTTGGGGGCTGGAGAGATGCACACAGCGGGCAGAGTGGTCTGAGAGATGTGCAGCGCTTGTGATATGGACAGGCAGGAAAGGTGCTTCAAGGAGGTGACAGCTGAGCAAATCTCCGAGTGGAGTGAGGGACGGGCAAGGCCGTGTTTCTGGCCAGGACTCCGACAGTTGTTCTGAGTAAGATGAGATGCTGTGGATGGGCTTTGAGCAAGAAAGTGACCCTGTCTCATGTTTCCTTTCCAAGCACCCCCGTGGCAGGGGTGAGAACAGATGGCAGGCAGAGGGGTGAGCAGGAAAGTGGCGAGCAGGCAGGCGGGAGGCCCGGGGGCCATGGAGGGGAGCTAAACTGGGGAGATAATGGTGGGCTACTGAGAGGTTGCTGGACTGTGGATGTTTTTTCAAGGTCGAGCCAGTGGGGTTTACTGGGATTGGTTCTGGGTTGAGAGAGAGAAAGAGAAGAATCAAGGACAAATCCGAGGATTTGGGCCTGAGCAAATAGCAGAAAGGAGATGCCACTGGCTAATGTGCAGCAGCCTCGGGTTGGAAATCACTGCTGTTGAGATCGACGTGTCTCTTAGGCGTTCACGTCTGGATTTGAGGGGAGAAATCTGGACTAGAGATTTACATGGGGGATAGTCAGTGTATAAATGACCTTTAACATCTGAGGGGCTGGATGAGCTCACCTCAGGAGGAACTCTCGACTGGAAAGAGTGCCCTGGAGCAACCCCAGGTCTTTTGACTGGGAACAGGAAAAGATCCAACAGAGGAGGCGGAGAACGTGTGGCCTCTGTAAAAGGGAACCAGGAATGCGACCCAAAGGTCAAGGGTGGAGAGCATTTCAGGAAGGGAGAAGGGGCTCACCATGGTCGGCAGAATAATGACTCCCAAAGATGCCCGCATCTAGACCCCTGGAACCTGTGGATATGTTAGGTTTCATGGCCATGGGAGTTGACATTATACAAGGAATTCAGGTTGCTGACCAACTGATCTTAAAATAAGGAATATATTCAGGATTATCTGATGGTCCCAATGTAATCATCAGGGTCCTTAAAAGCGGAAGAAGCAGGCAGAGGAGAGAGTCAGAAGGAGATGTTGGAAGAAGGTCAGAGAGATGCAACGTAAGAAGGACTCAGCTGCTGCTGGCTTTGACGATGGAGGAAGGGGCCATGAACTTAAGGAGCACAGCAGTCTCTGAAAGCTGGAAAAGGGGAGGAAATGGGTTCTCCCCTGGAGCCTCCAGAAAAGAGCACAGCCCTGCCAATACTTTGACTTTAGTCCACTGAGACCTGTGTCAGACTTCTAACCTGTAGAACTATCAGAGAATAAATGTGTATTGTTTTAAGGCACTACATTTGCAGTAATTTGTCCAGCAGCCACGGGAAGCTGGAATAAGCACATATCGAATGCTGCTGGTAAGTGTGTGCAATGAGGAGGACTGGTCATTAAGTGGAAGCTTGGAGTGGCTGTGGTGACCTTGACAGCAGCTGTGTCAGCTTGAAGAGAGGGATGACAGGGAGGAGCAGGCTGGCCACTGGACGGTGCTGTTGGCTGCACCTGGCATGGTGCTTATGGGAGCAGCTGCCCAGGGTGGTCAGAGTCCCCAGAGAGGCACCTCCCCAGGCTGGGGACTGCAGTGAGGACAAGAATCAGAGATGCCCAGAAACCAGCGAGATTGCCCTGGGAGGCCTGGCCGAGGGTACCTGGCACCAGGGCTACCCAAGGGCTTCTCATGGAGGTCAGCCTGGGTCCTTTGCTCCCTGGGAACCTGCCTCTTCCTCCCAAGTGGCAATGTCCACTGGTAAGGAGAGCTTTGTCCCTGTGTGAGGTCAGGGGCCAGGTCTGCTTTGCCTGACATGTGATCCCTAGCACAGTGTCTAACAGGCAGAAGATGCTGGCTGAAAGAATGGATAGAAAGTTCCAGGGGACAGAGGTTGTACAAAGGTACATTTGTGTGGAGTTCAGTGCACCATCCAATGGATGCCTTGCCATCTATTGGCACATGTTCATATCAGAGACCACATGGATATATTTGTTCTTAAGTAATAGACTGTAATTTTTAGAACAGTTTTAGGTTTGCAGAAAAATTGAACACATAGCACAGAAAGTTCACATATACCTCCTCTGCCACACACATACATGGTTTCCCCTATTATTATTTCTTTTTATTTAATTAATTAATTTATTTTTATTTGTTTATTTTTTGAGACGGAGTCTTGCTCTGTCACCCAGGCTGGAGTACAGTGGCACGATCTCTGCTCACTGCAACCTCTGCCTCCCGGGTTCAAGTGATTCTCCTGCTTCAGCATCCCAAGTAGCTGTGATTACGGGCACCCACCACCATGCCCGGCTAATTTTTATATTTTTAGTAGAGGCAGGATTTCACCATGTTGGCCGGACTGGTCTCAAACTCCTGACCTCAAGTGATCAGCCCTCCTCAGCCTCCCAAAGTGCTGAGATTACAGGCATTAGCCGCTATACCCAGCTTATTATTTATTACTAATATTTTTTTGAGACAAGGTCTCACTTTATCTTATAGGCTAGAGTGCGGTGGCATGATCATAGCTCACTGCAGCATTGACCTCCTGGGCTCAAGTAATTCCTCCTGCCTCAGCCTCCCAAATAGCTGGCAGTACAGGCATGTGCCACCACTTCTGGTTAATTTTCTTTTTATTTTATTTTTTTGTAGAGATGGGGTCTCCCTATGTTGTCCTTTCCAAGGCTGCATATTCCATTTTATGAATAGACCACATTTAGCTTATCCATTCATCCATCGATGGACATTTGGCTTGCTTCCACTTTTGGCTATTGTGAATAATGCTGCTGTGAACACAGATGTGCAAATATCTCTACAAGATCCTGCTTTCAGTTATTTTGCGTATATGCCCAGAAGTGGAATTCTCAATCATGCTGCTTTATTCTTTTTAATAGCTGCCTGGTACTCCATAGAATGTTTGTACCATAATTTACTATTTTAAATAGAATTATTTATGCTGCCCGTAACATAACATAAGCTCCATGTGAAAAAACTGAAGCCAAATGTTTGGCTCCATCAACGGGGAATGCTGGGGTGGGTTTGGGAGAAGACTGGCTGGATTGAGCTGCACCCGTTTTCCCTCTTCCCTCACCTCTTGCCTGTCTCTGCCTCTGTCTCTGCAATTTCCATTATTTCCTCTGTGTCCCTCCACAAGTCTCCATCTCTGTGGGTGAGCCTCCTCCACACTTTTGGGGGAAAATCAACCTCCAGTCCGGCTGGGCTTACGTCACACCAGCAGAACTGCCCTAGGTAGGGTCCTGGAGGTCTGTAAGGACTGGGCCTGAAACACACAGACGGTGGCCACAACAGTGTCCCATCGATCCCGTCCCATCTCATGCTTTCCGTGGTGTCTGGCCCACGTGAGAGCCAAGTGAACGGTAGCCACACGGACTAGTCATCGGAACTGGACCCCAAAGCCAGTCCTGAGCATGCTGCTCAGCTCGCATACACATCCTTTCTCCTTCCGTTACACAGAAACCAGCCATTGTGTGCAGGTGCCGGTGAGCACACGTGCTGGGCCAGGCTGCTTGCATGCCAGGCTCTGGAGTGTTACCTTGTTACCGTAGACTGGGGGTGGTGCTGTAAAATGAGGATAATGCTTCATGGGTTACTATAGGGACTACTTGTGCAGTTCACTCAGTGCATATAGTGTAAGCACTGGTACATGGAGAAGGTTCCATCTGGGAGAGCTTTTATTATTATTCAGTAGAGAGGTCCGAGTCTTTCTAGAGCCCAGTGATTGACAAAGATAAATTGGAAGGGTTTGGCCAGGTTCAGTTTAGACCAATTTTCATCACCAGTGAGGCTGAGCAGACTCAGGGGAGGCTTTGAGGTCACTTTTCAGAAGAGGGATCTGAGGCTCAGAGAGGCTGAGACTTAGCCAAGGACACACAGTGAATAAATGGTTCCAGCTGGAGTCCAGTTCTCTCCACTTCCCATCTAGTGTGTTATCTGACACTGTGGAAACTTGCAGGATCTTGGGAATTCGGAGGTTCTTGGCTCACTCAGGGTCACAGAGTTGATGGAGGGCAGGGCTGAGGTTTGAACCCAGGTCTGTCTGATGATAAGACGTTTTAACCACATGGTGCGTCCTCCCTTGACAGCTCCCAGAAATGCATTCATGAGGGCACTGATTCTCTCCCTGGGAAAGGGAAGAGAATTCTCTACTCAGAAGCTGGCGGGGATGGCTGACTTAGAAAAGTTTACTTCACACCTCCGGATAAAAGTGCAGGTCCTTGGCCAGGCACGGTGGCTCACACCTGTAATCCCAGCCCTTTGGGAGGCCGAGGTGGGTGAATCACGAGGTCAGGAGATCGAGACCATCCTGGCTAACACGGTGAAACCCCGTCTCTACTAAAAATACAAAACAATTAGCCGGGCGTGGTGACGGGTTCCTGTAGTCCCAGCTACTCGGGAGGCTGAGGCAGGAGAATGGCGTGAACCCAGTAGGCGGAGCCTGCAGTGAGCTGAGATCACGCCACTGTACTCCAGCCTGGGCGGCAGAGTGAGATTCTGTCTTTAAACAAAAAAAAAAATGCAGGTCCTCTCCATGTGAGCCATTTACAAAGATTATTTATCGCCGCTTCTCACAAGTATGTGTTCCATGTTGACTCTGTGTCTTTTGAATTTTTTAGGACTTGCCCTGTATGGTTTGGCCCAAAGTAGAATGCTGTCACTTTAAGACTGCAGGTGAGTTTTTCTTCTGGTTGATGTTCTTCTGTTTTGAGCATGAAAAACCAGAAGCCTGAAGCCCTCCTTCCTCCAGCTCCCTCACACTCTGCTGATCCTTCCAGCACCTCTCTACTTTGGACAAGTAGATCATTCCCTGACCTTACAGAACTAGGGCAGTGTGCCTGCACCTCAGAGCTGGCCGAAGTGTTAGTGCACAGTGGAACCTGGAGTGAGGTAGGCCCTTTTTGATATCCCTTGAAGGCATCTGGTGAATGAAACACAGAATGTGTGAATTAACTGGGTGTATCAGTTTTCTGTGGCTTCCCTAACAAATGTTCACAACTTAGTGGCTTCAACCACACACATTTATTCCCTTACAGTTCTAGAAGTCAGAAGTCCAACATCAGTTTCACTGGGCAAAGTCAGGGTGTCTGGTCCCTCTGGAGGTTCCAGAAGAGAGCCCATTTCTTCTTCTTTTCCAGCATCTATGGCCACATTGCCTGCGTTCCTTAGGGATGGATTAGGGATACTGCCTTCCTGCATTTCAGAAGCCAGCAGCATGGCATCGTGCCTCAATAGTTACTTGGCCTGCTTCTCTGCTGTCTGTCAAATCTCTGGCTCCCTCTTATAAGGACATCTATGATGACATTTAGGGCCCACCAGGATAATCCAGGCAATCTCCCCATTTCAAGGCCCTTAATCAAATCACATCTGCAAAGTCTCTGTGACCCTAAGATAACATTCACAGCCTCATGGGATTAGGACCTGGCTATCTTTGCAGACCTTTATTCAGCTTGCTACACTCAGTGGTCGAAATTCAGCTGACACTCATTTCATCAAGAGGAATTGATTGGCATCTGTAACTGAAACACGCAGGCCCTGGCACTGCTGGACCCGGGAGCACAAGGTTCTCAATGCTCCTACGGCTCTGCCTTTCTCCTTCCCTCTCAGCCGCCCTGCTTTCCTCTGGTGAGCATCCTTCGCAGGCAGGTACATCCTTGCCCTGTGGTGGGAAAGATGCGGTGGGCAGTCCCCGGCTCCTGAGTCTGATGGCTGGCACCTGCAGTGTAGACTTTTCCCAGTGGCTGTGACAGTTTCAGTGCAGACCCCTGGGCTCAGCGTGGGTCCCTGACCTGTCCCTGAAACTATCCCTAGGGCCAATGTGTAGGATTTTCTGGGTTCTGTGCCTAACTCTGGTGTCCTAGGGAATGGGATGGGCTGGGATTTGGGTGGGCCCCACTTGCCTCTGTAGACTGAGCAGGATTTTTGCTGAATAGAGGAGGGGTCCTCTCTGAAGGGAGGGATCACCTTGGAGTCTTCATTAAAGCGGGGGACCAGGAGAGCCAGAGAAGCGTAAACGGGTGGACCAGAGATGGAGCACTTAAGGGTAAGGTGTGGCCTTAAGAATTTATGTTCTGCCTGCTTGCTGCACAAGCATTTGTGCCCTAGCCCAAGGTGCTGTGCTGGGGTCCGGAGATGGATGTCCGGTCTCGCTTGCACCCATACGCTCTACTCAGACATTCCTGATGCTCTGAATCAGCTGCTGACCCGGTGGAGCACTTGCTTGTTTCCATGGCGAGGGCCATCAGTCCCCCGATGCTTGATGCAGCAGGAACCCTTATCCCATCCCAACCTGAGGAACTGAATCACCCCCAGATACAACCCAAGGAAGGAAAAAAAATACTGTAATTGGATCTAGGACCCAGATCCACATCTTTTTTAAATCAAATTTTAGGGTTTTTTTCTGCATATATTTTGAAATTCTATAGAAAGTTTCAAGAGCACTCGTAGTCTTTACCATCAATGTGCTGGGTAAGAAAGACTGAAAAGTACATCTTATTTTCCATCAAATTAGTGTGTATTAGAATAGAAGACAAATGTTGAAGAAGGCACAATGCCACCATCCAGGCCATTTCAAAACTAAAATTGCTGACTTGAAGCATTAGATACATCTAAGCACTTTCACGTGCAGTGTGGCATTTGATTGGCTGCTCAGACAACAGCTCTGTCTGATTGGTATCTTAGCCACACTCCCAGGTGAGGGGAACTGAGGCCTGGAGAACTCAGCTGACCTGTGCAAGGTCCCACAGCTGATCAGCATCTGGGCTGCATCCACTGAAGAGGGACCCTGACCGCCCAGCCAGGACCTTTCAAGTGACATTCCTGTGCTTTACACACAATGCCCATGAACTTTCCAAATGTATTGACACAGAGAAAAGTCTAAGGGAGTAATTTCTTTATTTTATTTTATTTTATTTTATTTATTTTACTGTGTTTTTCTTCTGAGACGGAGTCTTGCTCTATCACCAGGCTGGAGTGCAGTGGCGCGATCTTAGCTCACTGCAACCTCCGCCTCCCGGGTTCAAGTGATTCCCCTACCTCACCCTCCCGAATAGCTGGGACTACAGGCACATGCTACCACGCCAGGCTAATTTTTTGTATTTATTAGCAGAGATGGGGTTTCACCATGTTGACCAGGATGGTCTTGATCTCTTGACCTCATTATCTGCCTGCCTTGGCCTCCCAGAAGTGCTAGGATTACAGGCATGAGCCACCACGCCTGGCCTGAGAGTCATTTGCTACTGGAGGGCTCAGCAGGCGTTTGTGTCTGGCCATGCACACAACCTCTTTAGGATGGTGGTTGGTGGTGTTCACTGAGGGCTTACTCTGCAGTAGGCGGGTGCTTAGAAGGACCTAGTAAGGTAATACCTATACTGTTTGCCTTAGAATTCAGCAAACCGAGGTATAGAGAGGTTAGAGGTTATGCCCAAGGACTCATAGCTGGAGGGGCAGAGCCAGGACTCGAGCCCAGGGCTGTCTCATGTCATGTGTGTAAGAATCACCCCAGGCACCATTCTTGCCCAGCGGTTCTGATTCCTAGGTGGGGCTGCACAACCCAGGTAAGGAGACCAAGCTTTGAAAAATACTGTGTTTAAGCTCTGTAGCTTCCCAACGAGCATGTCTCATTTTCCTGGCAAAGAGATGATACCATTCATTCATTAACTTACTTACCCAGCAAACATTTTTCAGATGCCGTCTGTGTACCCTGTAGTCTGCCTCTAGAGGTTAAGCTCTATGCCTTACTGTCTTTCTGCATTATATAAGATGTGCACATTGCTGTTTTGCAGTGGAAGCACCACTTGGAATGAAATTGGACAAGAAAATGGAAGTCTTTATCCCACTCTCAACCTCTGCAGCCTCTAGTGGGCCATGGGCTCATTCCTTATTTGCTTTTATACCTTCCTGGCCTAAGAAGAACTTATTTAAAAGAGAGTCTCCTGTAACACACCGCCTGGTAAGTAGTAAGTTCAGTGCTTTAACGTGAATACCAGAAGTTGGAAAGAAACCAATTTTGGGCTGCGTATAAAATGGCACAGGCTTTTGTTGCTTAAAAAACGCTGTTCCTCCTCTTTCTAATGATGACTAAATATAGTTATCATTGGGGAGTGAATCCATTTATTTTTCCAAGGTGCTATTTCTGCTACACGACATACAGTATTTAGATGGAGAGGAGGTTTGAGTCAAGCATTAGGCTGCCTCGTCTGGTGTTTCCAAAGCGGGGATTGGATTGTGCTTCGACCAGACCAAGTGACTCCCAGCTATTAAAGATGACTGTGCCCATAATAGCAGTGAGCATTTCACAAGCATTTACTATGGGCCGGGCACTGGGTTGAGCACTTTCTATGCATAATCTCACTTGAGCCTCGTTATGAGTTTCTTAAACAGTAGTATTTTTATTCCCCTTTTACAGATGGGAAATTGAGGATTAGAGAGATTAAAAAACCAGTTCCATGTCCCACAGGTAGAAGTGGCAGAACCAAGATTCGAAGCTTCTTCTCTAACCACTACTCCATGCTCTTGCTATTGTTTTCTATTCTGTTTTATATCACGTAGGTTCAGTGACGTAACGTGGTATTGAGAACCATTAAGCTTGGCCAATGAGCTACAATGGCCAACAGCCCTTTTTTTGGGTTCCCTGCTAAGTAGTGATGTGAATTTCCTGGGGCTGCTGTAACAGATGACCACAAACAGCATGGCTGAAAACAACAGGAATGTATTTTCTCACTGCTGGGGAGGCTGGAAGTCTGGAATCACGGTGCTGGCCGGGCCACGTTCCCTCTGCAGGCTCTAGAGGAGGATCCTCCTCCCTCTTCCAGCTTCTGGTGACTCCAGGCCTTCCTTGGCTGTGGCTGCATCGCTTGACTGTCTCCCTCCATCTGTTCTTGGCCTCCTCTGTGTCTGTGTCTTCTCTATGTGCTACTTATAAGGACACTTGTCATTGGATGTCAGCCCTACCGGGGTAGTCCAGGATGATCTCTTGAGATCCTCAGCTTAATTACATCTTCAGAGACCTTTTTTCCAAAGACGGACACGTTCACAGGTTCTGGGGATCAGAACGTGGACATATCCTTTGGGGGCCACCACTGACCCCACTACAAATACTCATTGTTCTTTCCAGTCCTCTCCCGTAACAGGTAACTCGTCACCTCACAGGGCAGCACCCTCCATACTCAGTCGTCCTTTCTGTGTTGATTTGCTTCACAAGCTGTATTTATCAGTTATTGTTTACAAGATGTTCTATGAAAGTCAGAAGAAGAGAAAGCCTGCTTGAGGGCTTTGGCAAATTCTCTTACGGTCCCAGCATGTTAAAAAGGCATTCGAGTGGGTGTGGTGGACAGAAGCTCAACTGAATCAGAGGCCTGGGTCAGTCTGATGCCGTTGCATATCGTTGGTCTGTTCTTCTGAAAATGACATTTTTGTTAATTTTCTACACAATTTTCTACGCTGTGGAGAGGGAATTCATGTTGTGGAAAGATCACAGGATTTGAAGTCACCAGGCCTGGGGAGAGTCTCGAGCTTCCTGCCTGTGTGACTTTTGGCAAGAGAGTTAACCTTTCTGAGCCTTGGTTTCCTCATCTATAAAATGGGGGTAATAGAACTCATGTATGTAAAGTGATGGGTGCCATGCCTGGCCCTCAGCCAATGACAGACAGTTTATTAGGCCCAGTGTGGTGGCTCACGTTTATAATCCCAGCACCTTGGGAGGCCAAGACAGGAGAACCACTTGAGGCCAGGAGTCCAAGACCAGCCTGGGAAACATAGCAAGACCCTATGTCTACACAAATGAAAAATAAGTAAAAAATAAACAAGACATATGATTATTAATATTACTGAGAGCTGCTGGAGTCTGGGACCCAGAATACAGCTTGTCCCTCTGCAGGTGACAGGTGCGCAAGGCAGAGAGTGGGAAAGACGTGGCCATCACAGCAAGGAGAACCGAGGAGAGCTTCCTTGATGAAGTAAGGGTCCAGTCCCATTTAAAGGAGGTGTGTGGATACTGCAGGGGCCAGGGCCCTGGGATAGGGAGCATGGCAAGGGCAGAAATGAATAGATACTTGTTATTAGTCAAAGGGAAAGGAAACCTGAAGTTTCAAAGGCAGCAGGAGGCTTGTATTTGATGGATGAGCCCTGGCTTTCCTTTGGAACCTTTTCATAGGAGCCATTGCAGGGTTGGAGGAGGCCAAGTCTTGGCAGGGGGATTCCCTATGTTGATGAGGGATCAAGCTCACAGAGAGGCTGCCCCTGCCCCCAGACACACTGCCCTTTGTCCCAGTGCACCGTGGTGCACAGGAGTACTATCAGCCCCCACCTGGGAAGCACATGGTACATGTAAAATGATATCTTCACTCGTCTGCCCACATCTCCCTTGCTGGTATGTCAATCTTGGTTGGCTGAGTCCCTGTGACAACAGGTGTCCCACACATGTATCCAGACCGGGAATACACTGTGGTGTAAGCTCATGTCCACATTCTTCTTTCCGTAAGTTTTAATTTCCAATCCTTTAATGCTCTTTTAAAAATAAGACTTCAAGATTACTTAAGGATTAGTAGCAGTAATCCTTCTACCCTCCTGTAAAAATGTCATCATCTTGTACTTTTATTAAATATATGTATAGCATGAAATATTTCTCATTTTCTAATAACTTTTACGTTTTATTGTAGTATGGGGACATTTCAAGAGAAGTTCAAGGGACTTCTGAGAATGGAGTAATTTTTCAGAAATGTGCACTGGTAAGTTTCCATTGGTGGTTTATATTTGAAGAGAAAATAATTGGATTTTGCCCACATCATTTCAGTAGAGTCATGTGTTTAAGAACTGATAAATCATGGGCTTACCTACACAAGTCTGGACACGTGAGCAGTGAACAAACAGCAAGGTCTCTCACATCTCATATGGCAACACTAGGACTGAGATTATTTTTGTTACAATTAAATAATTGTCAGTAAAAATCCACAGTGATCATTTCGAATGGGAAAAAAGTGTGATATATTTTGTTTCAGATTCTAATCATTACTAGGGTACCTGACAGTTTTCAAAGTTGTTTAATGTTTTTTAGGTCTTTAACTTTCCTAATCCCACAAGATGGTTACTAATCCTACATATTATCCTTGTGTCAGGGGTCTCCAGCACCTGCCTTAGGGTCAGTGATTTGCTAGAAGGACTTACGGAACTCAGAAGAGCCATTCTGCTCAGTTACAGTTCACTACAGAGAAAGGGTACAGATTAAAGCCAGCAAAGGAAAAAGGCGAATGTCGCACAGCCCAGGAGAGACGAGGCATGAGCATTAGCTGTCCTCTCTCAGTGGATGAGTCGTGTGGACAGAGCTTAGTTCTCCCAGCAATGATGTATGACAATGCAGATAGAATATTGCCAACCAGGGAAGCTCACTGGAGCCTTGAGGTCCAGGCTTTTTCTCAGGCTCAGTCACATAGGCATGGAGCACACATGAGACTGACCTCAGTTGTTTGTTCTCCAGCCCCTCTAGAGGTCATTTCAGTACAGCAGGGTCCAAGGCACCCACCACAAATCACTGGCATCAGCTATCTGGTGAGGTCAAAGGACCCAGGCAAGGATATTCCGCAGGCTTTAGAGATTATCTCTCAGGAGCTGGTCAAGGGCCATTCCTTTCTCTTGAATGTGGAGGGTTTGGACAGCCCAGGCTTGCTGAGTTAAGCCTTCCCTGTGCCACCCTCATTTTATCACAGGCCCTCATCTACATCGTTTGCCTTCCTGGATGCAACCAGTGTTAGTAGTAGTTTCTTGTATATCCTTCTAGTGACTTTTTCTGCCATGTGCATGCAGTTATAAGTGTGTGCACATGCATGCCTACTATGTGTACCTTCTTTCTCCCCCACTTTTTTAATTCACGTAGGTGGCAGTATATTACACACACAGTTCTGAAGCTTGCTTTTATCACTTATATTCCGGAGCTCACTCTTCTCAGCACACACGTTGCTTCCTTCTCTTTTTTCCAGCTCCTGCATGTATTTCAGCAGAGCTGGGGAGAAGGTGGTGCAGGAGGGCTGGGAGACAAGATTAGAGGGGAAGGGAGGGCAAGAGTGCAGAGCCCAGGTGATGAGCCTGCTGCATTGGCCACTGGATGGCTTCTAGCAGCAGAGCCATTGAGACACATGTTGGGCAGAGCCTGAGTGTGGGAGATGATCCAAGAGGCAGATGAGCTACTCAGGTCCTTCCTGGAGATCACATGGCCATCAGAGACCCGGGGCTGAGGCTGAATCTTTAAAATAACTAAGTACCAAAGAGCCACTGTTTGCTTTCCTCGGTAATGCTGGTTGTCACAGTCTCCCCAGCCTGACTAGCTCTGCACTTGGACTTTTTTTTCTTCTAAGATTCTCTGCAGGGATGATTTCGCTGTCTCGGTTTCTTTGAAACTGTCTCCAAGCAACAGCTTGGCAAGTGTGGGTCAAAACCCTGCTGGGGGTCTTTGAAATCATACGGAGCCTGATGCATTCCCAGAACCTCTGTGAGGCTGTGCTACCCTCCTTCTTCCTGGATGCCTAATGTGCACAGGTTGGGCTCGTGCCCCATTTGAGGAAGCTGGATTTGTCAGCAAATCTGCCCTCATGCCTTCTCCTCCTGCCCTAGGTGTCTGGGCCAAGCGAAGCACAGACAGCCCACATATGGCTGCTTGTTAACAACACCAAGACACCCTCGTCAGCCAACCTCTCGGAGCTTCTCTTGCTGGACAGCATCGCTGGTCTCACTGTTCTGGAGTCCATCGGAAACAAGACCTCGGAAGGATTCCAGGCTTTTAGCAAGAAGTTTTTGCAAGGTAACAGCAGAGCAGTCTGAAGCCAGGGATGACAAATGAGAATATGTACAGATACTTCCAGGTGAATGTGCTCTGGGTCAGGCATATTTTTAAAGACTTACATGTGTTCACTCACTTAATCCTCACAATGGATCTTACTATCAGGGTATCATAAAAAGAGACCACATTCAATATCTGTAACCAAAAAGCTGAATTTCTCATTTATCTTAATAAGATGTTAGATTTGGGGAAAGAGTTGTGGAAATTTTTAAAAAATATATAGTCAATTTTTATTATGAAAAATTTCAAACATACACAAAAATAGAGTTTACAGTGGATCCCAGTATACGTGTCACTCACATCACTGAAATTAATCATCACTCAGGAAGATGAAAAGTTTGTTTTGGGTTGTGCTGGACAGAGTGGGAGTGGGTTGACATCCATCTCAGTAGCATGTTCCTGAGCTGTCCAGGTATGTCCAGGTGTGTCCAGGTGTGTTTGAACATGTTCACTGGAGTAACTCCACTGCTGCTTGGTTGATTTGTAGACTCTGCCACCCTCACTGGTTGGCTTTCAGAGGTTCGATTCCTGAGGTGGGCTGTTATTGGTCAATTAAGCAGGTTTAAAACCAATTCTGGGATTCAGTTGGTACCATAGCTTCAGAACTCAGTTTCCCTAGGCAGGCAAAGACATCCTTTATTCTTCATAGGACCTCATTTACAGATGAATAGACTGGGACTAAAGTGGCTGAGAAGCTTGCCCGAGGTCATAGGGCTGGCTGCTGCCAAGGCTGACAGTCAAGCTCAGGCTCCCTGTGCACCCTGGTAACCATTAAACTGTCGTGCTTTTCACATGTCTGGAACTCTTCCCAACTCCATGCCTCCGTACTCACAGCACACATTGCTAGGATTACGTGCTGCTCCTTCCCTCTGAGCCTAGATGAGGCCTCAGAATACTGCGTAACACATTATTATTGACAGAAGCTACTAGTGGAGCTTGCCCACACGTAGTGACCTTTTTGCTGGCTCTGATTTAAATGATGTCATAAAAGTTGTTATGAGACGTCCCAGCTAAGTAACCTTCAGTGCTTTCATGCCTTCAATGATATAAAAATGAATCCGCTATTCTTCAATTCGTGTTCAAAGCATGGAGCATGGGGCCACGAGCAGAGCACAGACGCAGCCTCAGATGGACCTGGGTGACTCCCAGCCTTGTGACTGAGAAGCTGCATGGCTTCTGGAAAGCTATTGAAGTGCTCTGGTCGTGCGAATGTCAGTCCATTGTGGAGTCGTAGAGATTGAATCAAGGAGACAGTGTCACCCAGGCCCTCTGTCTGGTAAAGGGAAGGTGTCCAACACCCTCTCCAGCCTGTGGTCCTGCACATCTTTCTTCTAATTTCCCCGCTGACCTTTCATGGTCTGTGCTCCTGCCAGACCCAGCTTCCTACTCTTCTCCTATCTCCTAGCATCTACTCTTGCTCTTTTGTGGGTCAAGAAAGCACCTCTCCCCAATTCTGAATATATAAATCATCTCTATTCTTTGGGACCTGGCCCTGGTGTCACCTTCTCTAGAAAGCCCCACCCAATCCACTGCCCCAAAGTCACCCCTCTGCCTCCAAACTTCCACAGAGATTACCTGCCCCTTCCTGCTTCCTGCTTGGAGCCTCGTGCCATTCTAGGCACTTTCCACACGTGAATTCATGGACTTCTGCTCTGGCACGTGCACACTGCGTGTCTCTGAACCTTGGCTCTCCATCTGTCCTCTGGGCATGCTAATAACACCTACCCAGGAAGGCGCTGTGAAGGTAAGGGAGCTAAAGCAGGGTGACACAGCCTGGCTATGGAAAGTGCTCCTGGGCTCCTGGTGTTAGGAGGTATTTTGTTCGTGTTTTTTTCTTCTTTTCTTTTCTTTTTTTTTTTTTTGAGATGGAGTTTCATGCTTGTCGCCCAGCCTGGAGTGCAGTGGCACAATCTCGGCTCACTGCAACCTCCGCCTGCTATGTTTAAGCGATTCTCCTGCCTCAGCCTCCCGAGTAGCTGGGACTACAGGCGTGTGCCACCACGACCAGCTAATTTTTGTATTTTCCATAGAGACAGGGTTTCACTATGTTGCCCAGGCTGGTCACGAACTCCTGACCTCAAGTGATCCTCCTGCCTTGGCCTCCCAAAGTGCTAGGATTACAGGCATGAGCCACCACGCCTGGCCACTGTTGGTGTTATTTTTATTCTTACTGCTCCATTCTTGTTATTTATGCCCATGCTTGGCTCTGCCTACTGGGCTGTATATTCCCTGAGGGCAGTGTCCAAATCATATTTATCTGTGAACTCACCGCTATGCCAAGGAGTATAACATTGACTTTCACCTTGGGACTCAGGTGACTTTTTTTTTTTTTTCCCCAAAGCATAAGTGGATAACTAAAATCAAATGACCAGTCAGGTCCCAGTTCATTGACATTCTGACCTCATCATCATTATTATTTGATGCTTTTCTTTTATGAGAGCCAGTGTTGTTTGGGGAAAAGATGATGGGACCCAGAGGGTCAGGTGGCTCCCTGTCCATCACCCGGGTGATCCTAAGCCAGTCACTGTCTCTTAGTCTCAGTTTCTTCTTCTGTATGTTGCAGAAAATCACATGTTCTCCATCCATCTCGGGGCAGTGCGTGGAGATCAGCTGGGTTAATGCAGGTGCAGCGCATGGAGAGTGGTCAAACCACTGTATGGGGAAGGTCTGACTATGACTACCTTCCCTGTCATTGTCATTGTCACTGCCATTATCTTTATCACTTTACGTTCATTATCTTAGCTCTAGGATATATGAAAACAAAATGAGATGGGCATGGTCCACTCCTAAGGTCCCAGCTACGCAGGAGGCTGAGGCAGGAGGATTGCTTGAGCCTGGGAGTTCGAGACTAGTCTGGGGAACATAGAGAGAGCCTATCTCAGAAATAAATAAATAAAAATTTTAAAATAAAAATGAAAATGTTGAAGATTTTTAAAACAAAAATGCCAGTGATTCCTTAGGCTAAGTGAGCATTCCTCCTCTTTTCTTTACTATATATACACACACATATATATGTGTGTGTGTATGTGTGTATATATGTGTATATGTGTGTGTGCATATATATATATATTTGAGGTCTGCATACATTGAGAAATGAGGCATATTGTGGCATTTTAGGGCTATAAGTAACCTCTGTTAGGGAGAAAGTCAAGATTGGAGGACAAGCTTAGGTGAGAACAGTGACTGGCAGAGTTAGACGGGCTCTGTCACCCACCTGGCCACACTGGGCAAAGGCCTCCAGTCCTGGTACAGCCTCGTCCGAGCAGGATGGGCTGAGTGCGGCCCACCCCAACTTACCTATGGGATGAGGCGTGCTGCACAGTGAGAAAGGGCTAGGAGAGCCAGCCCTATTGCAGGTAGTGCACCCCCGCTCGTGAATGGAAATGTCAGGAGTGGGAATCCAGGAGTCCGCCCAGCTCACTGTCCCCAGTTTACCACTCAGAGAATTCGCATCTAGCTGTGTGCAATACAAAAGGCTTCCTTGCTGCAGGCATCACTGCCATGGTGGCCTCCCTTGGAACCAGGGAAGCCAAGGGCCAGGATGTGTCTGGGGTGTGGTGGGGCACGGCCGGGGGCATGGCTGAGCCCTCACTGAATCACACGTGCTTTTCTCTGCACAGTGGGAGATGCCTTTGCTGTCAGCTATGCAGCCACACTCCAGGCTGGAGACCTTGGGAACGGGGAGAGCCTCAAGCTTCCTGCCCAACTTACCTTTCAGAGCTCGTCACAGGTATTACCTTTGTTACTTTAATCTCTGTCTTGCCACTGCCAGGAGAGATTGTTTTAGAAACAGGGACGCTTCAGACAGAAGACCTGTTAGTTCCTTCCTTCAGTGATGCCACCTAGCAGATAAGGGCACAGGCCTTGGAGTCTCACACACCTTGCCGTGAACCGGGCTCCGTTAGTAATGCCCCTGTGACTTTGCCTAAGTTACTTAATCCCTCTGGGCCTCACACAAGGTTTTCATAAGGATAGGTAATCAATACATGTGAATTCTTTTCACTGTGTCCTACACACTGTAAGCACCTAACCAGTAGTTACCATTACTGTTCATTTTCCAGGGCTACCGTAACAAAGTACCGCAGACTAGACTTAAAAACAACAGAAATGTATTGTCTGGGGGGCTGGAAGCCGGAGATCAGGGTGTCTGCAGGGCTGATTCCTTCTGAGACCTGTTCTTGGCTTGTGGAGGCTGCCTTCTCCCTGTGTCTTCCTAAGACTTTCCGTGGCTGCACGTCTGTCCTAACCTCTTCTGTAAGGACACCAGTCATGCAAGACCATGACCCAGCCTAGCAACCTCACTTTACCTGATTACTTCTGTAAAGACCCTGTCTCCAAATGCAGTCACATCCTGGGGCACTGGGACTTCGGACTTTAACATACAAATTTTGGGAAACAGTCTGGCCCATAACACCATTACTGTGAGTCTCCCCATCTCTCACTGCCCCTGTGGTGGGTTCACTTATGCAATGAACTGGCTGGCTGCCTGTCCTGGCAGGTGCTGCACGCCCCAGGTACAGGCTGGAGGAGATGTGGTCTCTGACTTCAAGGAGATCATGATGCTCTGCTTCCTTTTGCCATTTTATTGTGGCTTCAGCCCCTGGAGAAAGTCTTCCCTATTCACGGCCATGGAAGATGCGGCTCATAGCATGACTGTGACTGCCCCAGGTCCCATAACAGGATCAGATTGTACCCTGCAGCTGCCTCCTGAGGCCTCCTTCTACCCTGAGGCTGCAAGGCCACTGTGGCGTTTCTGCTGCAATGAGGGGAAAACAAAACAAAACAAAACAAAAAACCTTAGACAAATTTAGATAAAAGGAAAGAGGCTAAATACAAGATACAAGAAAATGACATGAAACTATTGGGAAGGACAATTCTCTCAGGAAATAATTTAGTATAAAGTTAAAAAAATAGAGAACAAAGACAGATTTTTGAAACTAAGGATAAAATTCCGAAAGGTTTCCCAAAAGAAATCCCAACAATTTCAGAAGACAGGAAACCAAGTCAATTAGAAAGAAAAGATAAGATAATGATAAGGAAAAGATAAGGTAAGAATCAGAAAGCAAATCAGAAACTCTGAATAAAATGAAATGGAAGCTTCAGGAGCTAAAACCCCGGGCAGCTGTGTGTGTTCCTGGGCCGGGCTGGCTTGGGCAGGGGGAGGTTTATGGTTCGGCAGAGCCTGGCTCCCATCATGCTCCAGGAAGACATTCCTCGTGGCTTCCCCTCCCCCAAGCTGAAATAGTCCTGCCTGTTACTTTGTTTGGTTCCTGTCTGTGATATTGACTCCACCCCCTAGGAACCCCCTCCCTCCCTCACTAGAATGTCAGCTCCGTGAAACCAGGGCCTCGTGTGCCCTGTTCACAGCTGCGTCTCCAGTGCCAAAAAGAGAACCCTGCACATAGTAGGTGCTCAGTAACAATGTGTTGAATCCCACTTGGTCCATGTTTTCTGGCTTCGTGCCAGGAACTAAAACATGTTTCTGAAGCCTTGAAGTTTATGTCGTAACTGCATGCATTTACTGGGGTGAGGATTTACGCTTTGTAAAGAGTTGAAGATGATCTTTGATAGCACACTTTAGGCTCCTATCTGCGTATCTGTGGGAACACAGCAGAATGTACTGGAATGTGGGCTCTGAACTTAGCCTCAGGCTCCAGTTCAAGAGACCCTGAGACTCCTAGACACCATACATATTCCAAAGCAGAGGTGACTCAAGAACAGAAAGGGCAAAGTGAATGAATGCCTCAGAGGTGTCTTTTCTTTACAGTCATGTTCTAAAACTGTTCCATTTCCCTCCCATGAAAAGAAGACTTACAGTGTTTTGATTTTCTCCGAAGCCTCCATGAGGTCACCCTGCTGGCCCACAGTGGATTTGGGAAGTCCCACTGCTTCCTAGCGCTGCTGCCATAACATCTGTAGGGCATGGATCAGGGGATTTGTTACTTCGGGAGGGGCATAGCTCAGGTTACAGAAACATGCCTTAGTCATGTCTATAATGAGAATTACATGGGTTGCTGAGCTCACTGGGCTGCAAGCTCTAAATCCCAAGGTCTGGTTCTTTTTTTTGAGACAGAGTTTTGCTCTTGTCACCCAGGCTGGAGTGCAATGGTGCAGTCTGGGCTCACTGCAACCTCTGCCTCCTGGGTTCAAGCAATTATCCTCTGTCAGTCTCCTGAGTAGCTGGGATTACAGGCGCCCACCACCACACCTGGCTAACTTTTGTATTCTTAGTAGAGACGGGGTTTCACCATGTTGGCCAGGCTGGTCTCAAGCTCCTGGCCTCAGGTGATAAACCCGCCTCGGCCTCCCAAAGTGCTGAGATTACAGGTGTGAACCACCAAACCCAGCCAGTCTGGTTCTATATAATATTACTGCTATGACTATTGCTATTGCTTTTTAAAATTTTTTTTCATTATTATTATTTTTGAGACAGTGTTTCACTCTTGTCACCCAGGCTGGAGTGCAATGACATGATCTCAGCTCACTGCGACCTCCGCCTCCTGGGTTCAAGCCATTCTCCTGCCTCAGCCTCCTGAGTAGCTGGAATTACAGGTGCCTGCCAGCACACCTGGCTAAGTTTTGATTTTTAGTAGAGATGGGGTTTTACCACGTTGGCCGGGCTGGTCTTGAACTGACCTCAGGTGATCTACCTGCTTTGGCCTTCCGAAGTGCTGGGATTACAGTGGTGTGAGCCACCGCGCCTGACCTGCTATTGCTACTACTACTGCTGCTACTGCTAATGTTACTACTACTACCTACAGCCACCAATAGCAGTAATATTTTATAGCACTCCCTAGTGCCAGGCACTCTTCAAGGTTCTATATTACCTAAGTTAATCCTCATAGCAATTCTGTGAACTGAATATGATTACCATTTCACAGATGAGAAAACAGAGGCAAAGAGAGGCCAATACATTGCCCAAGTTTCAACTGCTGTGAGCAGTGGAGCCCTGTATTAACTCAGCTTGGCCCTAATCACCACCCTATAGACTGCCTGTCAGTGGCAAGCTATTGTGCCTCTACCCCCAGGAAGAAGCATGTTCTCACAGTGGGTCTTTTCGGTCACCATGCGGTTAGACAGGTGGATACCATCACACACTTTATTTTGCTGTTTCCTGTATCTTCTCAGCAGAGGAATATTCGAGGACATTACGGATAGACCCACAGGGAGTTGGGGCTTGGAGAATCAAGTGCATTTGAGTAAGAGAAGAACACGTGCAGTGCAGTCAGAGCCCAGGATTGCATCTACCTTTGTGAAGGAGCTAGATGCTGGGAGAGTGGAGGTGACTTACCTTGGTCACAGGCTTGGAGTCAGCTCCCAACCCCAACCCCAAGCGTTTCTCCACAAGGGCATGCTGCCATGCCTTTCTCTGGATGTTAGCGAAGCTGGTGCTTGGATTTCACAAAGCCTCCGGTAGAGAGGGAGGGATCCTATCCCCACATGCCCTTCCCCCTGACAGTGAGACCTTCACAAGCTCTGACCTGTGCAGCAGTTAGGGCTGATTATAGCTCCAGGCTTGGCAGGTTGGAAATCACACCAAATGTTACCCCGTGTGTCAGACCCCAAACTGTTGCTGAAAGCGTTTTTTTTTTTCCTCTTCTAGAACAGAACACAGCTGAAAGCGCTTTTTTCCATAACAGCAGAAGAAAGCATAACGGTAGGAAACATGACATGCCCTGAGCACCCCCTGCCTTCTATCTGTGTCTCTTCACACCTGTGCCATGTGGGTCCTGCCTATCCTTGGAGCCATGGGGAGGGGCGGCTGCTGGCCTTGGACCCCCAGTTATGCGTTGAGGCTGGGACTCTGCTGTCTCTTGGGTCCCCCGTGTGCCCTGAGGCTATCTGACTGGTTTCCCTGGACGACCCTCCACCTGGGCAAGGCAGGTGGGCCATGGGCTGGACAGGCTGAGGTTCCACTGCTTGTCTGTGCTACTGTCCAGCTGTGCTCCTACCTGTTCCCAGTGTTTGCCCCTAGGTCAAGCTGCTGGTGACATTGTGTTTTCCCAGATCTTCCCAAAGCCTGCAGTCTGTGGGTGGGTCTCTCTGCTTCTGCTGTTCACCATTAATACTTCTCCATTTCTGTTCTTCAGTTTAATCATTTGCATCTCACATGTTCACTCGTTCATGTATTAACTGAGTGTTAATTCACCAGGTAACAACACTTCACGTTTCTTAAACACCTACTGGGTGCCAGGCATTCCGAGCAATTTACATATGTGGAATTACATCATCTTCACCACAGTCTTGTGAGACATATTCTATTTTAAAATCTCTGCCATTTCAGATGGGGAAACCGAGGCACATTAAAGTCAAGTAATTTGCTCAAGATCCCATGGCTAGAATGTCAGAGTCCCCAATACCCACCCCCAGTTTCGATGATTCTCTAGGGTGACTCATGGGACTTACATGTACAGTCACGCACCACATAATGACATTCTGGTGAACAGTGGACTGCATATATGAAGGTGGTCCCATAGGATTACAATGCAGCTGAAAAATTCCTGTCACCTAATGATCATGTGATTGTGTAACATCCATTGTAACACAGTGTGTTTACTCAGCTGTTTGGTGATTCTGGTGTGAAACCTACTGTGCTGCCAATCGTAAAAAGTCTAGCATATACAATTATGTCCAAAACATAATACTTGGCTGGGCGTGGTGGCTCACACCTGTAATCCCAGCACTTTGGGAGGCTGAGGTGGGTGGATCACGAGGTCAGGAGATTGAGACCATCCTGGCTAACACAGTGAAACCCCCTCTCTACTAAAAATACAAAAAAAACTAGCCGGGCGTGGTGGCGGGCGCCTGTAGTCCCAGCTACTCGGGAGGCTGAGGCAGGAGAATGGTGTGAACCCGGGAGGCGGAGCTTGCAGTGAGTGGAGATCATGCCACTACACTCCAGCCTGGGTGACAGAGCGAGACTCCGTCTCAAAAAAAATAATAATGACAATAAAAGACTATGCTACTGGTTTACATATTTAGTATACATATTTTTAATTGTTATTTTAGAGTGTATTGCTTCCACTGATCAAATCCAAAATAAGCTTACCTAGAAATCAGCCTCAGGCAGGCCCGTCAGGAGGGATTCTAGAAGAAGGCCTTGTTATCCTAGGAGATGACGGGTCCATGCCTGTTACTGCCCCTGAAGACCTTCCAGGGGGACAAGGTGTCAGTGTGGAAGGCAGTGAGATTGATGATCCTGACGCTGTACAGGACTAGGCTAATGTGCGTGTGTCTTAGTTTTTAACAAAAAAGTTTAAGAAGTTTTTTTTTAAAAAAAAAAACCTTAAAAATATAGAAAGCTTACAGAGTAAGGATATAAAGAAAGGATCTATTTTTGTACAGCTGTACGGCGTATTTGTGTTTTAAGCTGTGTTATTACCAAAGAGTCAACATGTTAAAAAAAAAAAAATGACAAAGGTAATAAAGTCACAGGGAGGGGAACATCACGCTCTGGAACCTGTCGAGAGGTGGGGGGCAAAGGCAATTACATGTGGAGCTTAAAACCTAGATGACAGGTTGATGGGTGCAGCAAACCACCACGACACATGTACACCTGTGTAACACACCTGCATGTTCTGCGTATGTATCCCAGAACTTAAAGTAAACTAAAATAAAATATAAAAAGTTACAGTAAGCTAAGATTAACTTATTACTGAAGAAACCTGCACAGCATATATTTTAAAAATAAATTTAGTGGCCAGGCATGGTGGCTCATGCCTGTAATCTCAGTACTTTGGGAGGCCGAGGTGGGCTGATCACTTGAGGCCGGGAGTTCAGCATCAGCCTGGCCAACACGGCTAAACCAGTCTCTACTAAAAATACAAAAACAATTAGCTGAGCAAGATGGTGCATGTCTGTGATTCCAGCTACTCGGGAGGCTGAGACATGAGAATTGCTTGAACCTGGGAGGTGGAGGTTGCAGTGAACCGAGATCATGCCACTGCACTCCAGCCTGGGCAACCGAGTGAGCCTGTCTCAACATAAATAAATAAATGTAGTGTAGCCTAAGGGTACAGTGTTTCTAAAGTCTACAGTCGTGTACAGTCATACCCTAGGCCTTCACATTCACTCACCACTCACTCACTGACTCGCCCAGAGCAACTTCCAGTCCTGCAAGCTCGAGTTACGGTAAATTTCCTATACAAGTGTATTTTTTTTTTCTTTTATACGTATTTTTCTTTTCTTTCTTTGTTTCTTTTTTTCTTAGACAGAGTCTTGCTTTGTTGCCCAGGCTGGAGTGCAGTGGTGCGTTCTCAGCTCACTGCAACCTCTGCCTCCCAGATTCAAGCGATTTTCCTGCCTCAGCCTCCTGAGTAGCTGGGATTACAGGCACCCACCACCACACCCAGCTAGTTTTTATATTTTTAGTAGAGATGGCATTTCACCACATTGGCCAGGCTGGTCTTGAACACCTGACCTCAAGTGATCCGGCCACCTCGGCCTCCCAAAGTGCTGGGATTACAGGCTTTGGAACTTTTTCTATACTTAGATCTATTTATATATACAAATACTTAGCATGTGTTATAGTTACCGACAGTATTCAGTACAGTAACATCCTGTACAGGTTTGTAGCCTAGGAGGAATAGACTATACCATAGAGCTTAGGTGTGTAGTCCGCTAGATCATCTAGGTTTGCGTAAGTCACTCTGTGATGTTTGCACAATGAGGAAATCACCTAACAATGCATTTCTAGGAACATCTCTTCATTGTTAGGTGATGCATGCCTGTAGTTGTACCCACTGCTGTGACTTACTACTATGAAAAGATACAAAGCAAAATCAGCACAGGGAAAAGTTGCATGGGGAGAAGTTTGGAGAAAATCACCTGCAAGTTTTAAGAGTCTTCTCCCAGCAGAGTCATGGAGGGTACGCTTCATTCCCCCAGCATGAGTTGTGATAACACATGTGAAGTATTGTCTACCGGGGAAGCTCCTTAGAGACTCAGTGCCAGAATTTTTACTGGGGGCTGGCCACGTAGGCACTCTCTGCCTGGCGTACACCAGGATTCCAGACTCCCAGAAGGAAAGCAGGTGCTCGGCCTAAGCCACACTGTTTGCACAGACAGTTTGAAAGCAGAGAGCCACTCTTACCAGAAAATAGTGGAAACCCTCCCAAAATCCATGTTCCCAGACATCCACTGAGGCCCAGCCCTACAGGAAGGGCTTTCAGAGGATGCCAGTCTCTGGCTGAAGACGTTAACTCTTTTCTGCATGGCTAGTAAGTGGCAGGACTAGGATTTGAACCCCAGCAGTTTGGCTCCGGATCCCTGCCGTCAGGCACTGGGCCATACCGCCTCCCAGAGAGCCAGAGTCCTGCACAGAAGAGATGAAGAGAAAGTACAAGGCTGGCCTTAGGTGAGTGTTCGGTTTAGTGGGGCTGTCAGGTGCATTGGTAACAAGTCTCCCTGCTGGTCTGTGAGCTCCTGGCGGGTGAGGCCATGTCGGATTCACCCATGTCCCCCACTGCGCGGTACATTGTAGATGGCACTCAGCAGGTAAATATCCCATGATGGAGCTTGTTGTCATCAATGACGATGATTGCTGCTCAGGAGGAGGTGGCTGGTCGCTGCATGAGTGTAATAAAAGGCGGAGAACACTCATGTAAGGGTATTTGCGAGCCCTTCCCCGCTGCCGCAGACTCACTTGTGGATGGAATTGAGCCATGCCCAGGTCTTCCAGGCTTCCCGTCACCTGCATGTTGCCTTCAGGAGAAAGAGGAATAGTTGCCCCCTGGGATGCAAACCTGTGGATGCAAGTCCTGGCCTTGGAACTGGCGCTGAATTTCAGCCACATCGGCCCCCAGGACAGGCGCCCCCAGGCTGTGGACCACATTCAGGGAGCTCCCTGTTGAGTGGGGAGAGGTGTACGCACAGGGTGGCCCTGTGGTATTGTGTGAGCCCAGCAGACTCTTGGACCATAAGGCCTGGCTTTGAATCCCTGTCCCTCACTGATTGCATGTGACCTTGGGCACATCACATACCTCTGAGGGCCTCAGTTTCCGCAACTGTGAAATGAGAGTAATAACAATATTCGCTTCACAGGATGGTTGTTGAGGTAAATGGATCAAGGGATGTAAAGCACTCAACACAGTGCCCGGCACTGTGAGGGCTCCATAAACATCAGCTGTTATCATCGTCAGTATTATTATTATTATTTACACATGAGAACAACACAGCTGTGCCAAGTGTTCTGTGATGCTGACAATGAATGTTTTGCATCAGGGCCTCATGCTCCAATGCCCATCGGGGTCACACAGGTGCTATAAGTGTATGTCAGGCTCAGTGCAAGATTCTAGGAAGTAATGTAGCGTGCAGCAGCGTGGACACTCGGGTTGCCTGTCACCCACCATCCCCACCCTCACACCGAGGCAGTAAATGGAAAAAAAGGACCGAAGAATGCACAGCACTGGCTGAATTTGTGAGTTTGTGACCTGAAATATAGATTGCTTGCACCATGGACACTGACAGCAGAGAGAGAGAGAACTCCATGGGCTGGGTGGACTGGCAGGCTTCCTGGAGGAGGAGGAATTCAATTGGGTCTTGAAGGTAAGATTTAATTAAAGTTGGGGAAGGAGCAGCTGAAGATCTGACTTCTAGGTTAAGCCAGTGTTGACTGCCGGACAGGCATGAACCAAGCACTGCTGGGTGACACACACA